CTGACGAAGCTGCTTTGCCGTCGTCGCTGGTGCACACACGGAAAGGCAGCGCGCCATAGGCGACTGTTTGGAGCGCGATTTGCCACTGACGTCGCCTGTGCTTCACTGGAATGTCGGTCTTGCGGCTAAATTCGCCGTGGGTAAGCCTGCAAAAGGATAGGTCACGATAGCGATCCCACCGCCAGTTGTGCTGGCCTATGACCGTCAAAACTTACGGTTTAACAACACCCCAGCCCACAATGACAAACCTGTACTGTAGACGGACTTTGACACTTTCGGAGTGAAGTTTATTAGAGATGAAAGCACTCAAGCTGGTGCTGGCCTGCAAACGGCTGACACAACTAAATTGAACTATGTAAATATAGTGCAGTAGAGCTATTCTGACCGAAAGAAATACATATGAAAAAAAGGAGGAGGTTCTATGGAAAAAGCAAGTTGTATTTGTGAATTTTCGAGGAGTTGACATAAGCAAATACATAAATAAATTGTATGTTTAAGGCCCAAGAGGCCCTTTCATTAACACATTGTCAGACAAAACAAAAGGAAGTGAGAAAGTAAGAAAGTTATACTAGAGGGTTTAAGGTGACAGGACGGTTAGACCACTGACTTGTGAGGGTGTGAGTCACAGTTTATTCGTGAGCGGCATGGAGGCGGAACAACTACGACGTTCTGTGTGCGGAGGGGGAGGGCGGATGGTAGGTCGGTTGATGTCAGAGGGACTGTGTTAGCTGTCGTTGGTGTGGGATTAGGACAGGGGATGGTAAGTCGTGGCCGTAAGCCATCGTACTGGTTGTTCAAGTCATCATGGCGGTTGATACTACCTGTCGTAGAATACCAAGCCTCGAGAAATCCTCGTGTGCGTTTTGTGTTGGCCATGACGACGACTTCAGTGTTTTCCCAATTAAATCTATGGATGCACTCGATTACGTGTGCGCAGACGAGGGATAGGGGGTCCCGGCGACAGACCGTTGATTTATGTTCCTCGATAGGGATGCGCAGGAGTCGACCTGTGTGACCAACATACACGCAATGGCAATTTGCGCACCAGATTTGATTGCTTTTCTTTTGGGATGGGATCCTTTATATGTGATAGCTTTGTGCGTCATAAGGATGTGTGAGGGAGCGAGGGATTGGGGGTAAGTTCCTGTTCCCGTCTCTTTTTGGGAAGGAGGCATATAAGCAGTTAAGTTTGAGTTGAAGTACTGTAGAGTTGGAAGCATGAGCGTAAGTTAAACTGTCATGATTGAAGTAGGAACTTTAAGCTAAACTACTTTGCATCTGCTTGAGCAAACTATCTTTGGATTTTTTTATCTACATGATTTATAACTTTTAATTGACCTTCACCCACTATATAAGGTCACTCATATTTTTGAAGGGATGTACACAAAAAGGCACTTCTATTACTCTTCCTATTGGCATTTGCAAGTTCCACCGGCTTTAAACTTGAAAAATGGGAATAAATGGGTTTCAGGGAAATCGATGGCTTTGCCTTTAGTTTAGGAAGAACCCCAACGTCTCCACCTGCTTACTATGTTTCGAAAGTTCACTCTGGGCGTTTTCGGAGAGAACGATTCTCATAACCCTTAACTGCCCTGGTGGTAAGACATGTCTCAGCTAACACTGCATGAACGGCGTTAGCATACCTGGCGGTAGTAAATTAGGCGAATAATCAAGCTAGCGTCGGGAAAACGCCCGTTATTGCAAATTTCCCAAGACCCTAAATACTAACCTACTTCAAGGAGACGGCTGGGCGCGACTGTGGTTAGAAAGCTAACACACTATCGGACTGAAACAATCGCTAACCCTCAGATAATGATAACGAACAAAAGAGCAACACTGCGAAGATCAATAGAACCCAAATGTAAAGGTATGTAAAATATTATGGAAAATAGATACAACCTGAATGTTGGTATCCTCGGGGATAAAAATCTGGCGGTGTTGTCAGTGCATTTAAAGTCTAGGGACAATCAAGGAAAGTGGAGGCGAGAATGTTAAAGATCACAAATAATCGGGGACCGCTACACGACACTACCCGTCACTACCATAGGTGGTCCTTCGCCAAATTCCAGGGCGTACCTATTTCCGTGTCTTAACTTTTATTCTAATCCCCTGGAATGAAGCGCAAGGCCACCTGAAATACGAGGAAGCGATACCTTAAAAAGTGCCCGTAGGGCCTGCCGACTTATCAAACGACAGCTCATATCGCCTACCTGAATGAAGCAAATCCTATAGAGCCTTCAACGTAGAAACTTCTGGTGGATCCACTCATGGTCTACTGAACAAATGTCGGTCAGCAAATGCTGCTCAACTCATCGGAATCCCCGCATTAGAAAAATTTCCGATACAAGAAGCGAGTTGCTGGAGGTCTGAGACCGGTTCCCCGCCCAGCCGTGGACAAGAATCTCTTCCAGAAAGCTCTTAGCTTGACTCGAAACGTTGGTTATCCGACCAGCTTTTGTCGGAAAGTGGCGCACCGCAGATTATTACCCAACAATTGAGAACGAAAACCTCTGACAGACCAGGAAGTCTGTGTGTAGCGAGTTAGAGTATTTTACTCGCATCAAGTGAAATGGTTTTTTTAAACTGGAAGCTGAAATTTTATCCACGTATTCGTCCTGAATAAAAGATT